CATATAGTGTAAATTTTTTTTTTGCATACAGCAGTCGTGTACGGCTAAATCTCGGAAGCAGTTTGAAGGCGGATTTATTTCTCAGTACTTAGTGAGTCTATTAATTAGGTTGAAAATAATAAATATATGATGGGCTTTTATTCTTACTAGTCCAAGAATGAGAGACAACAGATGGACAAAGAGAATTACTGAATAGCAACCAGGCAAAGTTGAAGGAACACATGGATGCTGTGAAAGAAATCACTTGAACGACTAAGTAGAACTATATGGATAAGTGAGACTGTAAATGTAGAGGATTGGAGGATTTGTTGACTGCTTCTTTAGCGACAAACAACGCAGCGATGAAACAGTAACTGATCAAAGTATATGAAGTAATCAGCGCTACTGCCCATTTGAGCTGTCAGCTCGTCTGAACCCTGTCTGTTTGCTAAATAATGATTCAGCGATATTTCATAAATCGCTTCTTCATTGCCCATCAAATTTCAACGCATTTTTACATAATTTTTCAGTTCTATTTTTTCCAAATCTTGTTGTGGTACTTATTTACAACCTAGCCGAGATAGACGTAACTGTTAACTTCTTCCAAGCGAACACTATTTTTCTTCAGTTTGCCTATGTTAGAGTGCGATATCTGACAAGTTCGATCACTATGATCACGTAGAGAGAGGCAAAAAATGGTTATTAAACTCTGTTACACTTCCCATCAAACATCAAAAATCCGCTTGCATGTGGCTTTTTTTTTGTTTTTATAGCAGAACGTTGCATAATAATTTGGGCTGTGTACACAAGCTGAAACATGGAACTTGTTTTCAGTGACAACACAGAGGTATTCAAACGAGGGGAAGAGGGAGGCAAGAGGAAAGGGGAGGGCGAGAGGTAGTATATGGTGGTGTGGTCGCTGACGAACCTCTGAAAGCGCACAAATCCAATTTTGCTAATTCTGTGGGTGCGCTACGTCGTATGATTTGCAGATGTGTCCCTTTTTCGGCTAAGCAGAATCCATAACAGAGTTTGAGAGGGTGTGGGTGGAGGCGGAGACGAATTTGAAATTGGGGGATATAAAATGAGTTTAAACTTGTACATAATTATTTATGTGCCATCAGAAACTGCCACTGGTACATATCCGGGGCCTATCTTTTCCAAGAAGATTTTGAGCCCCATCCTTTAGCACTGAACCGAGTTCCGGATAAAAATTTGGGGAAAAGAGGGGATCGAGAATTTTTTTTCGAATAACGTCATCGTGCATAGAGGAGAGGCAAAAAAAATTCGAGGAAAAGAAACCTGGAATAAAAATACGAGCGAAATGACTTTTCTGCACCTACGGTTGCATTGCAGTGACATCAAGGATTAGAATCCTTTCACTACATCGGCCATTTTGAGCAATCCTGGTGATTAGTACGGCACTTAGTTTGAAAAAGAAAAAAATTGCTTCTTTGATATTAGGAAATTGCCTTGTTACGAGGAATTTTTGTTCCTCTTCAGCTGAACAAACTGCCGTCGTATTTTTAAAGATTACTGGATGCACAGTCCTGGCAACACTTTAGTATAACCAGATCGCTGGATACGATAAGTAAACTGTTTAAATACCAGGAATCCCCAAACTCCCTCATGGTATGGGTATCCCGCGTTAGTGATATTACTTAGATGTGCTTGGCGCAGCTGTGCTTGGTCCTTCGATTTTGCGCTATATATATTCCCACTTTAGTACTCATTTCGTTCGGTTTTTATGCACCGTCTGTTTTTGAGGTTGCAGCGGTCAACTATTTCTTCATTAAAATATAAAATTTTTGAAATTTTTTGGTATCTTTCCCTTTTTTACCTTTATCCTTTACTTTTCTTCCAATCCGAAACACTGGTCACTCTGGTAATGATAGTTTCTGTCAGTTACGGTTATTCTTACACAAGACTTTAAGTACTCCTCCTCCTCCCCCCCACCCTCCCGCCGAGTGAATCTCTTCACAAATGATGCAAAAGGGGTCTATAAAGTCTCTGGACCTTTAAAAATAGTCACATTATTAAAAGCGCCAGAAATACAGAGGGCTACTGTGAGTGAAATTTGTCTTCTTTTTTTTATAAATTATTTTTGCGCTTTCAGATCCATTATGGGGACGTAATGCGCGGCGTACATTCTCGGCAACGATGATCAGGGGACGGGCACGGACGGTACTTCTTGTGGTCATTCTTATTGGCTCCGTGTTATATTTACTGATCACTGCTTCCGCATTATTCACAGCAGTGGGTGAAGTTACCAGCGGTGTTATTTTGCCAAGACGAAAATTGGGCAATATTTCTCTCTATTCCCCATTGATTTTTATCGGTTAGTAATTAACTGAAATTTTGTATTATGCATTTTATCTTCATAGTGATTACGAACAGTCACTCCAAGCATCCTTCACTCCATTGCTGCTCCCATCGCAGACAGTGTTCAACTCTTCTGTTTTCATTAATGACCACGTTTCGCATCCGTACGTCATTTTCTATCAATCCACTAGTGCCGTGAAAGCAACTTTGCTTAATTTTACGTAATCTCAGCACTATCATGGTTCTCTTTCTTTGTGTTATCATTAAATTTTCTTTAGGAGGCATGCCACGA